ACCAGATCTCATGACAGCTCACTTACTATCAGGAGAACAGCAAGGGAAAATCCACCCCCATGATCCAGTTACTTCCCACCAGGTCCCTTCCTTGACACATGGGGATTGCAATTCAAGATGAGATTTGGGTGGGGACAGAGAGCCAAATCATATCATTCTGCTGTTGGTCCCTCCCAAATCTCATGTCCTCCTCATATTTCAAAACACAATCATGCCTTCCCAACAGTCCCCCAAAAGTCTTAACTCATTCCAGCATTAATCCAAAAGTTCAAGTCTAAAGTCTCATCTGAGACAACGCAAGTTCCTTCTGCCTAGTAGCCTGTAAAATCAAAAGCAAGTTAGTTACTTCGAAGATACAATGAGGGTACAGGCATTGGCTAAATGCTCCCATTCCAAATGGGAGAAATGGGCCAAAACAAAGAGGCCACATGCCCCATGCAAATCTGGAACTCAACAGGACAGTCATTAAATCTTAAAGCTTGAAAATAATCTTGTTTGACTCCATGTCTCACATCCAGGCCATGCTGATGCAAGAACCAGGCTCCTAAGGCCTTTGGCAGCTCCACCACTGTGGCTCTGAAGGGTACCACCCCTGTGGCTGCTTTCACGAGCTGGTATTGAGTACCTGTGTCTTTTCCAGCTGCATGTTGCAAGCTGTTGGTGGATTTACCATTCTGGGGTCCGGAGGACAATGGCCTTCTTCTCATAGCTCCAATAGGCAGTGCCCCAGTGAGGACTCTGTGGTGGAGTTCCAATTCCCACATTTTCCCTCTTTATTGCCCTAGTAAAAGTTCTCCATGAGGGCTCTGCCCCTGCAACAGACTTCTGCCTGGCCACCTAGGTGTTTCCCTACATCTTCTGAAATCTAGGTGGAGGTTCCCAAACCTCTGCCCTCTGTGAACTCCCAGGCCCAACACCACATGGAAGCCACCAAGGCATGGGGCTTGAACCCTCTGAAGCAATGGCCCGAGCTTTACCTTGGCCCCTTTAGCCATGACTGACTCTGAAATGCTGGGACACAGGTTGCTGTGCCCAATGCTGCACAGAGCAGCTGGGCCCTCAGCCTGGCCCATAAAACCATTTTTCCCTCATAGTCCCCTGGGCATGTGATGGGGAGAGCTACCTTGAACAGCTCTGAAATGCCCTGGAGACATTTTTCCCATTGTGTTGGCTACTAACATTTGGCTCCTTGTTACTTATGCAAATTTCTGCAGGTGACTTGGACTTAAATTCCTCTCCCCAAAAATAGTTGTTTTTCTATACATGGTCAGCCTGCAAGTTTTCCAAATGTTTACACTCTGCTTCCCTTTTAAACATAAGTTCCAATTTTAGACCATCTCTGTGAACACATTGACTGTATGTTTTCAGAAAAAGCCGGGTCACATCTTTAATGCTTTACTGATTAGAAACGTCTTTGGCCAGATACCTTAAATCATCTCTCTCGAGTGCAAATTTCCACAGATCTCTAGGGCAGGGGCAAAATGCCACCAGTCTCTTTGCTAACGTATAGCAAGAGTGAGCTTTGCTCCAGTTCCTGATAAGCTCCTCATCTCCATTTGAGACCACCTCAGCCTGGGTTTCATTGTCCATATCACTATCAGCATTTTGATGAATGCTGATAGCCTCTAGGAAGTTTCAAGTTTTCCCACATCTTCCTGTCTTCTTCTGAGCCCTCCAAACGGTTCCAAACTCTGCCTGTTACCCAGTTCCAAAGTTGCTTCCACATTTTCAGGTATCTTTACAGCAATGTCACACTTCTCTAGATACCAACTTTCTGTATCAGTCCATTTTCACACTGCTATTAAGAACTACCTGAGACTGGGTCATTTATAAAGAAAAGAGATTTAATTGACTCACAGCTCTGCATTGCTTGGGGAGGCCTCAGGAAATTTATAATCATGGCAGAAGGCAAAGGGGAAGCAAGGCATGTCTTACATAGCAGCAGGAGAGAGAGTGAGCTGCGAGATTGCCAAACACTTTTCAACCATCAGATCTCATGAGAACTCACAATCATGAGAACAGCATGGAGGAAAACACCCCCATGATTCAGTCACCTCCCACTAGGTCCCTTTCTCAACACATCGGGATTACAATTTGAGATGAGATTTGGGTGGGGACACAGAGCCAAACCATATCAACAGGGTCCTGTAGTTTTGGGGGTGACTGGAGATAAACTACCTCTGTTCTCTTGCTCTTCTCCTTTTACAGTCTATCTCTTCTGCAGTTGCACATTCCAGACAGCATGATACATTTCTAACGAGCCAGTTTCCTCCTTTTGAGTTTCTCTTTCTGTGCCTTTGGTCTCTGTAATACTGTCGTTACTTTCCTTGCCCTTCTGGTGCCTCCTGTTCTGGTACTAGTGCCTCTCTCCGTGGCTATGTCCCCCCAAGAAACAAGCAGCAAGGTATTGTTCCCACTCAGTGATCTGACCCTTTCCATACTCTTCTCCACCTTCCCTATTCAGACCTTTTCCAGGCTTTGAATTGTAGGAGATTCTCAATCATGGATAATTCAGTGTTCATAGAAAGAAGCCTATGAATTCTTAGTGAGAGCCACCAAGTCGCTTCCTGGGAATCCAAACAACTCTCTATACAGACTTTCATTTCCCATTCATTTGAAGTGCTCATGTCACAGCTATGAGATAAAATCAAAGTGGCTCTCTGTCCCTAGGGCTGTGCAGACATCAGACAAACTTTGATACTTGACATCAACTTGATGTGTGTTACACATGCATCTTAATAGTTTCAAAGAGTGAATGCTCAAAAACACACGGGAATAGGGAAGACGCTTTATATAAAGTCCTCTCAAAGTAGCACATTTGTCACCTGCCAGCCGAGCAAATAAATTAACATCAGTAATAGTATAGTCAGGAAAAAAAATTCTTACATCTGAGGTTACCTGGGGTCACCTTAATTTTCCCAAATAACCATGACAACAAATATTCTCATCTCCAAAGCTTCTCTCTCCACCAGTACTGGCACACCAGTTTTCATTTTAAGAGGAAGGCAGCCTTTGAAGTAAGCAAGTCCTTTAAACAACCTAAGAAAACAAGTGTATTAATATGACACTTTCTCAAATATATAGGAAAATATTGTTCTATTTTTACTATTATCATTAATCACATGTAGTGGTCATCCACCACACAGAATATCCTACTACTATGTGCTGTCAGAGAGGGAAGACATTGGACCACTCTCTCCCATTATTTCAATTCTGAGCAAAGTTTTCATAAGGAATGTCACTCCATGAAAGCCAGACAGGCATGTTTGGCTGGTGCCTTCACATGTTCAGATCACATGGGTACTAATGAGTTTATTGAGAGGAGACTAATTCTATGGATGGAACTATCTTCCCTCAGATAATTAATTGCAGCTCCCAAAAGTATCTGGTACCCCAATGAGCAGCTCACATCCTTGGAAAAGCTATCATATAATCAGGATAAAACCTTATAAAACAATTTAGAGGGATATGGTAATATCATCCCATCAAAAAGCTGAAACCTGCACAAAAAGGACAATTCGACCCATGTTTTCTTTTGTAAACAACATCCAAAATTAGTAACTGAGGTAAAGGATGAATTTTTTTTAAAAAAAGTAATTATTTTGAACAATAACTAACACATGTGGTACATTTTCTAGTAATTGCTTTACAAATAGTAATTTCATTCCTTTCAAATTCTCATTAGGTGGTGCATCATTATTTTCTCCATTTAACAGATTAGAAAAGCAAGGCAGGGGTTAAGTTATCTACATAATCACCCAAGAATACACTATTAGTGAATGGCAATGTTAAATTTGAACTTGGCTGGATTCTGAGTCTGTGCTCTTGACTACTACCCCATAATTCCAACTTCAAAACAGAAAATCTGAAATACCTACTAGATATAACCTGCACCGGATCCTGAACATAACATTGTGTTACTAATGTGTTTTGATCTTTACGGAACTCAGAAGTATCAGTGATTAGTAGTAGCAATAGTTCAGTTTATTGAGTGCCTACTAGAGTTGAGTATTTTGTATACATTATTTATTAATCCAACCATAATTTTTCAAAATGGTTAGGTGATCTACCTATGTACACATAAAGAACTTTAGAAAAGTTGAAATACTTGCTTAAGGTTTCATAGTCACTTGTATTTAAAGCCAGGTGACTCTGAATTCAAATGTTATATATATTCCACTCTAGGATCCCTTTTACTTAAGCAAATTTTATAAAAAGAATAATTAAGGTCCGTAGTTCACCTAAGTCTTAGTAGAATGCCACCAATATCTATTTTTCAAATGGATTTGGAAATAAACATGATGAAACGAGAAGGAAGAGAATGAAAAACAGGGTGAAGATTTTAAAGTTGCATTAACCTTTAGTCAGCATGGATCAGTGAAACGGGTAAATAGAAATTGTCCCACCACTCTCATTTTATCTAATGTCACATTTCTTTAAGAATAACTTCCAGATGCTGGCCAGGGTGTACATTTTGCTATTTCTGGCAAAGAAAACTCTTTTGCATTTTGCCAACCTGAGAGAACAGAATCTATTAATCAGTGCCAGCCATGATTTGTTCTTTCAACATAAAAGCACAGCCTTTTTCCTTGGAATGTTTTTAGTTACAATAATCTTTTACTTCATTTCTGTCTACAAGTGTGCACATTCATATTTATGCCATGAACTGTGTTAAGAGTTTAGCACTGGTTTGTTAATTTACGAATTCAATTATCATAAATCAATACATAGCAGATTCCTTGGGGAACATAAATAGTCCTCCTAAGGCAGTGGTTCTCAAACTTGAACACCTAGAATGTTTGTGAAGCACACAGAGGCAGGCTTGTTGAAGTAAAATAGGGCCTGAGTCTCTGTATTTTTATCAAATTGCTAAGTGCTTCAGACACCAAGCAAAGTTTGAGAACCGCTGTTCTATGACTTATTTAAGCTCTTCTCATTTTTGGTTTCCAAAGCTGAGCTCATGAAGCTTTTCTAGATTCAAGTCTTCCTTTCTTACCTAGGTCCTGAGCTGAAATAATGGAATCTAGCAGAAGTTGCCTTTCCAGATTCAAATGGCTTCCGTGTGCGTCCCTGAGCCATAACTTCTTCCTGTCCACATGCGCAGTTCCCAGGCTAGGCTAAGGTTGCTACTTCTTTAGTACTCTCGGCAGTAACCTAGACATGAGGCTTTTCTCTACAATGCCAGCTCTGTGACCAGAGTTACACCTTCTTCTGGCTAGTCCTTCTGCCTGGGTCCTGAAATGTATCCACTGAAATTTATTTCCATCTAAATACCTTTTAAGCAATTTACCCATTCCACTTGATTTTTGAATGCCACCTATATAGCAGTGTTCTCAAACTTTGGTTGATGTGGTAAGCAACCTCTAAGATGACCTCAATGATTCACTTGTTTTAGAAGTCACACCTTTGCGTAATTCCTTCATATTGAGTGTGAACCGGACTTGTTGAGTCAGTTCGGATGAATAGAAAATGACAGCAGTACTAAGATGTTAGGAAGTTATGAAAAGACCATGACTTTCACCTTGGCACTATTTCTCATCCAATCTCTCGGATTACTTACTCAAAAACATACAACTGCCGTGTCATGGGGCAGGCCTACGGAAAAGACCACCTGGTAAGAGACCAACTCCCATAAACCAAGTGGCTGGAAAAAATAAGATAAGCCTTACCTGAGCATAAAAATCTCATTGGACTACTTAACCAGGAATCAGGATTAACAGGTTCAATGAGGAGTACTCACTTCTTGTTCTCATTTTATGAAAGGACATGCCTAAACAAACAAATCATATTAAAAAATTGTAGCAACTACCCACAAAACAAACTGTTAGAAGAAATAAAACTTTTGTGAGCGTACAAATGTGCTATATGCATCTACTGAGCCATTGTTTGGCTTGTTCTAAACTATATGTTGCCAACTTCCTGATTTTATGAGAAGGGATTTGTTATTTAAGGGCAAGGGATAGAGAATAAGAATAGTGAAACTGTCTTCTAAGAAGTTATTTAAGTTTGTTGGAGCTTATGTGTCTTGGAACAAGAGAGTAATGTTAAAACCATAACTACACAGAAATGACTTTAGAATAAAGTATAACATATTGGGAAGTATAATGATTGAGCCACAAATTTACCAAAACAGAAAAAGAAGTTCCAACATTGTGATGAGATTGCACATAACCAAGTTAGTTATTCCCAAAAAAAAAAAAAAAAAACTTGCATTTTTGCATTTTTTTCTGTGAATACAACTTTTTACTCAAGTAATCCGTAACTCCCAAAACATTTTGTAATTTTTAAGCTAATATATTTTAATAGTTGTACTCTAATACAGGTTTATTTCTAAAATGTCCTTTTCTAACATTCAGATATTTAGCAACAGGGCAGTCTTTTCTATATAATACTAGCCAGATTTACATTATTATTTGTTTGTTTCTATCTATGTAAAAGGAAACTTTATGTGCATAAAATTTCCCATTTCCTGACTGAATCTCACGTGTCTTCTTGAGAACAGACAGCGTAACGATTTTTTTCTAGGTCCTCTCTAATTCTGAAATCAGGATACTTCGAGAATTCATCTGGAGGCCGAGGCGGGTGGATCATGAGGTCAGGAGATTGAGACCATCCTGGCTAACATTGTGAAATCCCGTCTCTACTAAAAACAAGAAATTAGCCGGGCGCGGTGGCGGCGCCTGTGGTCGCAGCTACTCCGGAGGCTGAGGCAGGAGAATGGCGGGAACCCGGGAGGCCGAGCTTGCAGTGAGTCGAGATTGTGCCACTCACTCCAGCCTGGGTGACAGAGCGAGACTCCGTCTCAAAAAAAAAAAAAAAAAAAAAAAAAAAAGAAAAGAAAAGAATCTGTCTATTTCAATATTGCAAAAAAAAAAAAAAAAAAAAAATCACAAAATCCTTTTTTGAGTCAGTGAACAACTTCAAAAGAGAAAATGAGAAGCTTTTGAAAACTGTTTTAACTTGTTTAATCCACAAGAGCACTGTGTAGCCCCTATAACCTCACTACTCTTGTAAAAGTTGATTTGTAAGTTCATAGTAGTGAGTTCTACATTCAGGGACTGGCTTTATGCCAATGGGATGATGTCATGAACAGTATTTTATAATCTACTTTCTTTTTTAAAAAAACAAGGTATATTTGTCATATCTTTTCATGTCACTAAATACATGGTATTTTATCACCTAAATGTCTTATTATTTATTTAAGCAATATCCTGGTATTGAACATTTAGGTTGTTTGTTATTTTTCCATTGATAAACTCCTGTAAACATTCTCATGGATACATTTTTGTGCATATCCAAGATTATTTCTTTAAAATAAATTCCTGGAAGTGGAATTGGTAAGCCAAATACAGGAACATTGCTAAGGCATTGACATGTATTGCCAAATGACTGTCCAGGAAGCTTTTGAACGCTTTAGATTCCCACCAGCAGTGGAAAAGAATGCTCATTTTCTCATACACTCACCAATGGTGCTTTTCTCTTGAGGCTGTATGTTTGTTTGTTTTAATTTTGGTTAATTTTATAGTAGAAAATGTAATCTAATTTCTGTTTGTTAGTATCTCTTGGATTTTCTGTGATGCTAAGCACTTAAACATTTCTAGTGGCTTCATAATATTATTGGGATTTACCAAAATGACTCAATAATTTCCCATTTTTTACTTTGATTTGCTTCTAAATAATGAATCCTGTGGCAAGTAACCTTTTGAATACGACTAAAATTTATGTTTCTGTTTATCTTCAGGGTGGATTCCCACAAAATAAATTAGTAGAAGAAAGAATTTTGCTAAATTTCTTTTCAGAAAGACTTTACTCATTTATTAGCAATAAATAGTATCTGTTGTGAGTTAAATTGTGTCTCCAAAAAGATATGCTTGGGTAATAGCCACTGGGACCTTTGAATGTAATCTTATTTAGAAATAGGGTCTTCGCTAATGTTGTCAAATTAAGATGAAGTCATATCGAATTAGGTACGACTGTCCTTATAAGAAGAGAAGAGACACAGACACAGAGGAAAGACTGCCATATGAAGATGGGGCAAAGATTGGAGTTATGTTGCTACAGGCCAAGGAATGCCTGGCACTACCAGAAGCTGGAGGAGACAAGGAGGGATTAGGGATGTCTTTTGGAAGCTTCAAAGGGAATATGCCTTCTCAACAACTTGACTTCTAATGTTGTGATGGTTAATACTGAGCGTCAACTTGATTGGGTTGAAGGATACAAAGTACTGATCCTGGGTGTGTCTGTGAGGGTGTTGCCAAAGGAGATTAACATTTGAGTCAGTGGGCTGAGAAAGGCAGACCCACTCTTAATCTGGGTGAGCACCATCTAATCAACTGCCAGTGTGGCTAGAATATAAGCAGGTACAAAAATGTGAAAAGAGAGACTGGCCTAGCCTCCCAGCCTACATCTTTATTCTGTGCTAGATGCTTCCTGCCCTTGAACATCAGACTCTTATGTCCTTCAATTTTGGAACTCAGACTGACTTTCCTTGCTCCTCAGCCTGCAGATGGCCTATTGTGGGACCTTGTGATCGTGTGAGTTAATACGCAATAAACTTAATAATAAATTAATATTTATATATTAATAAATACATAATGGAATATAATTCCATATATATATTTCATTAGTTCTATCCCTCTACAGAATCCTATTAGAAATGTCAAACCCTTAAAAACATTGTGTTTTTTTTTTTTAGAGACAAGGTCTTGTTCCGTCACCCAGGTTTGAATGCAATGGCATGATCATAGCTGAAGGCAGCCTCAAACTCCCCAGCTCAAGAGATCCTTCCACTTCAGCCTCCCCAGTACCTAGGACTACAGTTATGCACCGCCACACCCAGCTAATTTTTTTTTTTTAATTTTTTGTAGAGACAGAGTCTTTCTATGTTACCCAGACTAGTCTCAAACTCTTGGTCTCAAGTGACCCTTCTGCCTCGACCTCCCAAAGTGTTGGGATTATAGGCGTCAGCCACCATGCTAAGCGAGAAAATAAATTTATGTGGTTTTAAGCTATCCAGTTTGTGATACTTTGTTATGGCAGCCCTAAGAAATTAATATACCATTATTTTCGAAGTGCCGCTAATTTATCAGACATTTGTTTTTAATCGTTCTGATTTTCAAAAATATCTGCTAACTTAAAATATGAAGATTGTATTTAAGTGTTCTGTTTTTCATTGAAGTAAAAAATTTGTCTTAAATACTAGACATTTGCTTCTATTAATTTTCTCACAATATTTTTATACTTTTTTCCTCAGTTATTGTAACGTTAGTGTTTTCTAATCAGTATATTATGAATATCACTTTTAATGTATCACATTAATTACAAATTTTCTAGTTTTTGGTTTCCTATCATTCACTTCCTAAATATATAAAATAAATAGAAATCATTTTATGATGTTTGTAGAATATTTTTGCTTAAAAAGAATAGATTGTCAAATTACAACTACCATCACCACCACCACCAACATGAGATTCTCTTGGAAATATATCAAAATTGTATCAAAAGTCTTAAAAGTCAGTCTTTTAGAAGCAAAAAGAGAATAAAAACAGTGCATATGTAGTTTTAATCTTATGAATGACAGGTTAGAGACAGAGAATATTTTTATTCATCATTGACTATTACATTTTTAGGGAGAATATTTCTAATGAGTAATACGAAGGCAAATTTTTATCAAATATGGCAGAATGCAAAAAGTGTGTAATTAAAAATAAGGTCAAGAAAAACTAACATTATTTTTAAGGAAACAGAAAGAGGGAAAGAAGAAAAGATATAGAAAAGAGGAAAGGGAGAGAGGCAGGAAAAGAGAAAAAAGCTGCGGAAAATTTTGAAGAAACAAAAGCAATCAGAATATTTTTAGATAACTAAATAATGATGTCTTGTGAAGAAGGTAAAACATGCAAGATCTGCAGGAGTAATGGCTCTGTCAAAATCCCCATCCATGATAAAAGCAAGAGGCCATGATGATAATCACTGTGGGAACCTCTGAGATAAGAATTTATCTTCAAGAAGGGCAATAAAATGCTGACAAGTACAACTTAATTATGATGGAGTAGGTCCTGAATGACTGTAAATCCACCACCAGGGTCCATATGAAAATTAAGATGCAGGAGTATATGTTTTAATTTATAGGATTCTTTTTTGGAGTGCTTATAAATTAGAAAAATAGCAGCAATTTCAAGGACAAAACACACACTCTACTCATTTTCTGAGGACTTCTTGGGTGGGTCAGGTTTTTTCCTTGATTCTATTAAGTCAGTAAGCCAGAATTCTAGTACTTATTTTTCTCTTCCTTGTTATGTCCATAATCACAAGGTGTAATGAATACATATTGTGAAATGATATGGTATCTTAAGATTAAATTGCAAAATCTATGAATAAGAAATGAAGTAGGATCTTACAAACTTACTTAATAAATAGACCTTAACATGGAAAATGATACGTAAACAACAGCTGAGCTTGTTCAGTGGTTATGAATAACCGTAACAATGTTTACTCTATGTTATATTACAAATTTGTTTTACTTAACTGTTGGAATCATAAGAAGTAGGCTTTCTTATGCTTCCCATCTAGCCAATAAAAACTGATTTTCCTTGACTTAATGAAAATTAAAAAACAATGAATATGGGAGGCCAAAGAATGTGGATCACTTGAGGCCAGAAGTTCAAGACCAGCCTGGGCAAGACTGAAATCCCATCTCTACTAAAAATAGAAAGAAATAGCTGACTGTGGTGGTGCTCACCTGTGGTCCCAGCTACTTGAGAGGCTGAGGGATGAGAATCATTTGAACCCAGGAGGTAGAGATTGCAGTGAACCAAGATTGTTCCACTGCACTCCAACCTGGGCAAAAGAGCAAGACTCTGTCTCAGAAAACATATATATAAATAAATAATAAAGATAAAAATACCACATTGAATAATTTGTTTCCCCCTTATGAAAAGAAAAATGTTAAGTATAAACCCAATTATAGCCAATGACTTTTCTTATGTTACATTTGAGATAAATTGCTAGAATGTGCATATTACGATGTTTCAATTTGGGTAAATATTATGAAAATGGGAACCCAGTCCTAATTCTCACTTCTCACTCCATCGAAATCTTGTAAATAGCCTTTATGGTAATGAAATAACTGTATGACAAAAAAGACCAAGAAAGTTGTTAGTGCAGAAGCTTAGAGAGTCTACATGATTTAAAAAAAAAAAAAAAAAAACACTGGAAAATTTAAGTTACACAGAAGACTAAAATTGGGATGGCCACCTAGCTCACAACAAATTGAGAATTTGATCCTGCTTCCCAATTTCATTTCAACATGCTGACTTGATATAATGTGATCCTCTATTTGTGAGCATGGTGATAAGTCTATGGCGATAGTTCTCAATCAGGGAACTGGCTGATCTCTGGGTACCTGGGGACATTTGACAATTTCTAGGGATAGTTTTGGTTGCACAACTTGGGGTAAGGGGGTTGCCACTGGCATCTAGTGGGTAGAGGCCAGGGATGCTGCTAACCCCCCTACAATGCACAGGACACAACCTACAACATACAATTATCTGGCCTAGAATATCAATAGTGCTCAATAGTGCTGATGTGACAAAGCCTGGCCTAAAGACAAATTAAGCAAGGGCAATCACAGTTCTTTCTCAAGACTTTGTTGGGTTTTGTTTTTGTGTTTATGGATGTAAAAGCTGGAGAACAAGGCTCGGTTTTCCTGTGTGATAAAGCTTGGAAAATAGTGTCTAGAAACTGCTTCACAAAGGTGGCAGTAGGTGAGGCTGAAGTCACCACACAAAAGAAGCAAAGCTGGAGGAAATACCAGAGTCCTGGTGGCTTTCAATTTAATCTCTGATTGCATTGCCCCCAGCTACTATTTGACTTTTCCCAGTTATGGATTGTAACTAGTTATGGATTCTATAACCCAGTTATGAAAGTTATATCCAGACAAATGGATATTGCTATTTGTCTAAAATGCCAGATTGTCTAAATTTGCTATTACGGCATCATGCTCTCCTTTACAACTTCTTCCCAGTGTACAGAGAAGTTCAGGTGAGATGCTGCCCTGAAACCGGCAGTATCTAGAGTGGACTTGTGTGCCCCCTGTGTTTACTCTCAGCAAGGGGAGTTCTTATGCTGATTGGCCAGCGAATACAAGCTTTTAAAAAATTCTACTGCCTAAACCTGTGTGATGTAAGGCTGACTCGGAGAAGCAAGGGGAGTCCATTGTCAGGAAGGGACAATTGTCAAAGAAGCTAATGTGTTTCAGTTATGCTCTGCCTGGCTCCAGAGCCTCTGAGTCATTAGTCATTGTTAACTGCTAATAATAAAGACTTTTGGTTCCAGCCCCCGCCCCTTCTGGGGTGCAAGCTGACCTCAGAAGGATTAAGTCTGAACCAATGCACTTGCAGACCCCACCCTACACACACACACACACACACACACACACACTTCTCTTCTTCTGACTTAATGCTAGGGGCAGACACACACACACACACACACACACACACACGAAGTATTTATGTATCCATGTTTGTGTTGTGAATGGCGAGGAGGAGAGGGGAGGAGGTGAGCTGGAGTGGTGTTTTCCCTTCTAGCTCTGAGGATTCAATTTCAGGTTTGTCATACAAAGTGAATGGCCGCGTCATCCTCAGAGCTCTAAAAACCGTGATTCCTGGCTGTTTGCTAAGGTAAACAAAAGACCTTTTTACACATTCACCCTACGACAAGTTTACCAGTCTAGATAGGCATAAATAATAAAGAACATAATGATCTGCTCAAAGGTGAAGGATGTGGCCTCATGCAGAGAGCAGCTTCTTTCCCTGAACAAGTGAAAATCAATTACTTTCTGATAGGACTTTCCTTCGATAAGATGCTCTCATCATAGAAGTCCTTATCTCAATATGATTTCACATTGTACTCATGAAGATAAATCATTAATCAACCTTCTCAACAGCTCTTTCCTCTAAGTTGGATTTTGTCATTTTCGTGATGCAGAGAGAATATTTTCAATAGTATGTTTAAAGCAGTAA